CTAGCAATCGACATTTTTACATGTTTTTTGAGAGAAATGCATTAGGCAAATTCCTTAATTAATGAACAATAGTACACACCTCGAAAATAATAAACGTCCTCTCTAGAAATAACAAATTCATTCTTGTCTCAAGTAAAATCGAATTATATGTGTGAATTGAGAGAGGCCCAGCATGTCTAGAAAGTCCTATCTAGCCTGTGATTCAAGGAAAACTTTGATTGTATGGCTGAGTGGTAAGGGGTCTCTACTTTACGGGCTCAAACCAACTTCATATCTCGTTGGCGACGCTGATTAGACATGGTAGGGATTGAAACTGCATTCAAAGTTGGTTACACAAGCTTTTCGGGAGGTAAGACCAAGTGTAACTTGATAGTACCGTGGGACAAACGCGGTTCATTCACATTAAACTAAGAATTTAATTATTATAAAATAGTTTTCAACCATATGACTCTCACACATACACCCCAAAACACACCATAATTGAACCAACTAATAAATAAAGGCTTAACTACAAATATAAATTACAATAATTAACAATTATATCTCTTAAAAATTAATGTATTCTACTAAACACAGGAATATTTAAAAAAAATTAAAATCAATTCTTACTGCATACCCAGATTTCCCAATTTTACATAATAAAAGCATACGAACAGAATAAACAAAACTTGTAAAAAATCCACTATTCATCCTCAAATAGGCCTTCAGTGATTCTGAGTGGCTGCATTTTTTACAGAATAATTTAGTGAATAAAATGAGACAACGATCCGCAACACGGTATCCTAGCCTCATGTGGTCTCTACCGTAACCGGTTGGGTTCTGGACTGGCAAGCTGTCTGTTCGAATCCCACCGGAATGATGAAACTAGGCTCAGACTGCAGTCGATTCTAAAGAGAAGTGGCGCAATGAGACGCATTTTAACGTCATGCTTCTTTCTTCAACTCATCGCGGCCACCAGGTCTTCTTCACCTGCTGTTCATCTGGCCTTCATGAGATCGTCTCGATGTAGATCGTGACTGTGGGAGTAGGGCGTTCGCTGACCAGCTGGTAGAGCTCAGAGAAAAAGAAACTACGAAGAGTAACTGGGTTTCGATGACTCTGCTTCGAAAACATTATTGCGGAGATTCGACCTTCGAATCTTCTCTTCATCCACTTTCATACGAAATGAAAGTCTCCCCGACAAAGAAAGTAAAATGTCAGGCGAGAACTGGTACTCAAGCCTTGATGAGATCCATCCGTTGCCTGAGAAGACAGCATGTACGTGTGCAGGAGGA